GCGTAGGCTAAGTCAGCTATAACCTAAAAAATTGGTAAGACCTAGCAGACAAAAAAAAGGCTTTGAAAATAGTTTGGACTGTAATTGGATCTACCCTGAAGTGGGTCAGACGTACATTCCAGATAGGTGCTTGCCCTGGCCTTTCGAAGCATTGTAAAATCATTGTAAAAAGCGATACATTCACTGTAAAAAGCGATATATTCACTGTAGTATCTCTCCTGTTACCACAGCACAGCTTGTGCTTTCAGAAAAATGCACAGCACAGTATGAAGTCAGCTTTTAAGGACATTTATTTACTCAACGATTAAGAAAAACAGGTGGGTTGTTCTTTTCTGGCTTCTTTTGTTTTGTTTTGTTCGAGGGTGTTTTATGATGAGAATAGTTAGAAGCAGGTTAGGAAACCAAAGATTTTTCAGGCTTTCTCCCTGCTTATTGGACACTCTGTCAGGTGCATATGTTCATCTAGCTTAACTGGAGCAGTAAAATTTATCCTGGGCTTGCTGAATTGGGGAAGCAGATCTGTGATACTTCTCTGGAACATGTTTCTCCTGCACTGTCTCTGAGGGATAACACGTGTGTGGAGCACTGGAAGGGAACGTTGGCTGCCTTTAAGTGATCTTCTGGTGCTCTGTGTGATATGGCCATTATCACTCAGGAAGCTCATATATTAAAGAACAAACATGACTGCAGAGTATGGATAGGTCAGGAAACAGCTTTAGGTGGGATTTTCAAAGCCATCTAAGGAGTGAAAGTGACTTAAGTGACGTGTGAGAAGTGACTAGTTCCCTTGTCATGTGTGTTAACAAGTGCCTTTAGCTTGGGTGTAACTATTTTGTATCATTACAGTGATGGCTAGCTCTTGTGACTTAAGCTCTGCCTCTCCAAGCATGTTTTGGCAGTCTAACAGCAGGTGCTCTCAGAGCTTCTTCTGGCCTCTTGCTGTGGATCAGCAATTGCACCTCCTCAGACCCCTGTTGACATAGCTCTGCTGACTGAAACCAGTCATGGGTCTGGTGAGGGCTCGCTGGAACCTACAAACTCACCCTTCCTCTTGGGTATGCTGCCGTGTTACTAAATGCACGTGACAGGCGGGTCAGTGTAAGGCATTAAAGTAACGTTTGTGTCATTGTTTAATATAAGGTGGTGCATATAAATCACAGGAGTTGAGCTTAATGTGGCAAAAATTCAGCCACGTTCAAAAGGGGCAGAAGAGAGGAATGATCAACGTGACATGATTTCTTTGTACAAAATAGCATATCTGAGCAGTGTAATACTCAGTTGAATGTGGAAGGTTTAATTAAAGTCACTTGCTATTCTCTCTGTGACGAGGCTGGAGGGACGCAACAATGGCCCTGGCAAGCTACCTGCAGGATTAGCTGCCTTCTACACCAAGGTGTTTCTTTCCCAGGTTTTGCCTCGGATATATTAACAACTGTAAGCACTGCTGCGAATAGAATTACTTACACAGCCTTAGTTTTAGGTAACTCGTTGAGATCTTGTAGTACCCTCGCCTCAGCAGGTCAGGACTCGCTGTAGACTGCAAAATACATCGTAGAGGTTACGGCAAGCTGAGCTCCACAACTGCTACCTGTGTCTAAGCTGGCTGGCTTGTGCCTGTCCTGTGTGTGACTGCCGTGCACTGCTGTGATAATGAATACTTGAGCCGCGACAGTAGCGTAAACAAACTCCAGGAAGAGATTTGGCGTGGCTGGGGAGTTACTCTTGTGATAAGGCTTCTTGCTCCTGCAGATAGATGAAGGACAGTGCCTGATGTCCAACAGGAACCCTTCAAAACTGTCACCACTTCTGTCATTCCTCAGATGCTAGTGTGAGCACATGACATTACAAAGACTCTGACTCCTGGGAGAAAGATAAAGTACCATAACGTAATAATTTCTCTCCCCTCCTCCCCTTTTTTATTTCAACCTTCAAAGGATTTTTTTTTCAGGAGAGAAAGATAAAGTAATCTGAGGCTCAGTTCCCACTTCTGCTCTAGACTTCCTGTGTGACTGTGAATAGTAGGTAGTGCTTTTCTGTACCTCCATTTCTTCTCCATTAAATTAGAATAGGCACAATTTGAAAAATCATTCGTGTAACTGTGCCAGCTGACTGTAGAGACAAGATCTGCAGACACAAGGCTGCCAAAAGATATGGGAAATCGCAGAGGCCAGTTTAGAAAGATACCAATGTCAGACAGCCAAGTCTGTGAGTTTAGGTGCCTTACCTGATGAAAGGTTTTAGAAAATTTAATTGGGAACTATGGGAACTAGGCTGCAGAGTGCCTAAGTGCCATGGAGGTTGTAGCTCTAGGGTCTTTCGTGTCCAACAGATTTTAAAATGGGAACTCGTACTCCTTATTTGCTGAACTGATTTTTAAAATGCTACTAACTCATAATGTTTCTGTTGGTTTTGTTTGTCTGTTTTGTCTAATTAGGCTCTAGCAGAACAATTGCAATCTCTTTTACTTTGTGCTGTGCCAGATAGACGTAACCCTAAATTTAGTTCTCCTGTAGATGGTAGTTCAATAAAATAACAATACTTTTTACTAATGAGAATAACTGTGTGAAGCCAGGATTCATGCTAAATTAGTATCCATTAGTGACTTAGATCTATAATGAAGGTTTCCTTGCTCTCTGTTATGTGTCTCAATTCATTACAGAGCAGTCCATGATATTTTATTAACAACACTTTTATTTTGTTCTGGAACCATTGCCCAAAACCGTTGGAAGAATACGTGCTTTTCCGTAACATCCGAATGAGACAAATGGCACTGGTTGCTTTTGTTATTGTACAGAAGTGTCTTTCCTTTGGACTCAGAAAGACTTGTAAATGGAGACTAATAGAGCACGTGCTTCAAAGCCTTCTGTCTGATCCATTGGTGAGCAAAAAGAATAAATATATTGTCTATGTTCTAATCAGTCCTCATTATAAAGAAAAGTTCTCCTGCTCCAAGTTCCAGGAGAAATTCTTACCTTTACTCAGAGAGAGAGGGCAACAAGTACTATCTCCAGTTCTGTTTTCCAGTGGTAGCAGAAGAAATACGAAAATTGTTTCAAGGACACCCCAAACCTACCAGTTGAGGGAGTGAGAAGGATTATTAATTTGAATGTGAGCAAAACTACTTACATTAAGATCCCTTTTTCTGATCTGTTGCATCGGAATCTTCCTCAGAGCTCCTCCTCCAGTCATCCCATCAAATAGCCCGTATTTATTGCTTTATTTATTTTATTTCTTCATGTGCATTTAGGAAGAAAAAGGAAGGAGATACTCTCCCTCCACCCCCCTCAATGGAGGCCATCTGCTCTTTTCTTATTGGGGGGAAAAAAAGCCCTACAATTAGTGTCTTGTTCATCTTTTCTTTTTAACAAAAAAAAAAGTGAAAGAAAGAGAACTATTATGCAAATACTCTGCAATTTGGTTTCAAATATTCTTTGTACTATGATGAGCAATTTCCTTTAATACAAACTCAGCCTACTTGCCAGGGCTTTTTTTTTGCCTTAATATAGGGAAGGGGGAAAAAAATACTTTCATGAGTTTGAGGAGTGTGCAATGTTCCTCTGATGCCAACTTCTTCTCATCCTTTTTTTGTATCTTTCTTTCTTTGGCATTAGTACAGCTGTTATTCTTTAACTTGTCAGAAAGATGTGGTATAGGGTTTTTGAGAAAGAAAGAGAACTGAAATAGCTTTACAAAGCCACAGTTTCATCTCAGTTTTGATAGTTCCATTGCCATGATGAAGTGGTCTTGAAATGGAAGAGTCTGCTTAGTGAATGAGAGAGAAAAGCTTTCTCCCTGCCTTTTTGGAACGCCAGTTGCTTGTGATGGCAGCAGTACCTCTAAGAACAGATAAGTAGATTTTTTTGTAAGGAACTCCTGTGCTGCTTGTCAGTGATACGAACTTTGGGGCCAAATAGTGTAGCCAAGGTCCTTCTGGTCCTTGATATTGGACAACCTAGTTAGCTAGCTAGCTGAAAACCTCTGAAAACTAATGATCCAGGAAGGATAAAGAAAGTATAGAAGAAAGGAAGGAATATTATCTCCTGTTCGTTTTGTGGGAAGCTGAAGCATGGAAAAAATAAAGTAACTGAGCCAAGTTCTATTGGTAGAGGCCTTTGGAAGAATCAGGAGCTGAGATAGGCTCAGATGTAGAAAGTTGCTGCTTTGTGTAGTGGTCTGCTAGTGGCAACATCAGGAGACAGCTGGACTACTACTGCACCATCGTGACTGCTAGTGTAGGCTGTTGCTGTGCAACAGTCGTAGAGACCGTAGCATGGTTGTGTCCTAATGGCTTAACAAATCTGCAAACTGTCAGTGAGACTTAAAAGCATCAGACAGATTTGAAAAGCCCACGCTAAACATCCTGGTTCTTAACCTTTTGCAGGTTGAACTTTGGGAAATCTTCAGTTGACATATAAATGTTACATGCTTAAGCCTGTAAAGCACTAAGCATAAAATCTCGGATCCAGTAGGCATTTTAGCACAGCTCAATCAAATATCTTGCCAAACGAGGCCTAACTGACCATTGAACTATAGATGAGTGGCATAGTTTGCTTGTGTAAAAAAAAAAAAAAAAAAAGCGCCAGTGGCCAATGGATTGACCACAAATTGAGATAATAAATTCAAGAAACAAAATTAAGGGAAGTAAAACACAACCAATGAGACCTTTAAGCAAAGTTAAGTGTGTCACACTTACATCTTTGCATCTGTGGCTTTAATGGGACAGGGAATATAGGGCAGAGCGGCGTTTCTGACCTGAGCCTTCACTGGATCTGTTTAGATAGTCTGACCCATTGCTTGGGGCTCATTACGTCAAACGTACGTTACATCAGACTGGATTCTGCCTAGGCGTGGGGATCACTGGATGCACAACATAGGAACTCATGGTGCTTACAGGACACCGATCCCTGTTAGATGCTCTACAGGAAATAGGAAATCTTCTATGCATAGAGTCTTTAAGTCTTTTACACACTGGAGTAACCAGGTAACTTTTGTTGTTACAGGAAGCTCTTATCATGGCCAGCATGGACCACCCACACCTGGTGAGACTTCTGGGTGTCTGCTTGAGCCCAACCATTCAACTCGTCACTCAGCTGATGCCTCATGGCTGCCTGTTGGATTATGTTCATGAACATAAGGATAATATTGGCTCCCAGCTTCTGCTGAACTGGTGTGTCCAAATAGCTAAGGTATGTAGTTCATGCTGTTCTTTTGTTGTCATTTTCATAACTAACTGAAAAACCTGCCATGAAAAAAAAAAAGCAAGTTAAAAAAATAATTGTTTTGCCTTTTTGGATTTTGTCTATGGCTTTTTTTCAGGCTGCTTTTGTTTTCAGGAAAGTTGGGTGGTTCTTGAAATACACACTATTTTGGCTGCATTCAGCTCTGGGGTCCTCAACATAAGAAGGATACAGACATTTTGGAGAGAGTCCAGAGCAGGCCACAAAGATGATCAGGGGGCTGGAGCACCTCTTCTCTGAAGACAGGCTGAGAGAGTTGGGGTTGTTCAGCCTGGAGAAGAGAAGGCTTCAGGGAGACCTTCTAGCAGCCTTCCAGTACCTAAAGGGGCTACAAGAAAGCTGGAGAGGGACTGATAGGTCAAGGGGTGATGGCTTTAAACTAAAAGAGGGTCAATTTCAATTAGATTCAAGGAAGAAATTCTTCCCTCTGAGAGTGGTGAGGCACTGGAACAGGTTGCCCAGAGAAGTTGTGGGTGTCTCGTGCCTGGAAGTGTTCAAGGCCAGGTTGGATGGGACTGCGAACAACCTGATCTAGTGGAAGGTGTCCCTGCCCATGGCAGGGGGATTGGAACTAGATGGTCTTTAAAGGTTCCTTCTAAACCAAACCATTCTGTGATTCTATCATTAGTTGTTAATATGTAAACCAAAGTGGTTTTCTTGACTGTCTTTGCAACTCATCGGTAATAGGGGAGTCTTCTGGGGGGAGAAGTGGAGGAAGAATCCCCCTGTGTGACATCTGGGGCTGAGCACAGACTGATTTTTCACCTTCTTAAACTGTTCACTCTTCATAGGTACTGATTTAACCTGATGGTAGTTTTCAACCTTTCTGAATCTGCGTTGCGAGTTAAATTCTGATATGCCATCAGTTGTCTGCCCCCACACTGCTAAGAAGATAAATATTCACTTCATGTCACTCCTCTGGGAGCTGCTATGGCTAGGTGTTTAAGACCTATCACAACAGGAGGGTGATATTATTGCTCGTCTCCGCGGAACGGGAAGTCTCAAGGGCTGGATCCTGCTCTGCCTGCTGTGGTGTAATGCTCGCTGCCGCCTTGTGGGGTCTTAGGAGCAGGAGGGAAGCCACGATCATTGGGATAGACTGCACTTCAGCTGAGGTGGAACAGAGAATAGGTCATAAATGCAGCCCTAGTGTAATCCTTGCACAGTGTTTTACTTGTGCTTTTAGGTGTGTTCAGGTAGTTCATGTTGCAGTAAGAACAAGTTACGGATACTCAGTTGCAAAGAGTAACAAGATCTGGGAGTGTAGAGGGCCATCATTTTTACCTGTTTTACAGGCTCTTTAGTGCAACTAGAGTTGTGTACGATGATGTTACTGTGAATGAGAGTCTGGAACCCACTTTTTATATAGAAGTTATTTAAAGTTTTATATTATTTTGGTGAAAATGCTTGCTACATACAAATGTATGCCACAGGCTGCCCTCTTACATTAAATCTGCAGCCTGAAGTGAATTTTCTACATCATCTATTATGACATCTTAATTCACGTTGTAATGTTAAACTTTTAGTACTGGAGACAAACCTGAAGACTCAGCAATTGTTTTGCTGGAGAATAGCCCATCAAGTAAAAGTTCACTTATTTTGAAAGCTTAAACACAAAATGTTTTCTTACAGAAGTAAGAAAACTGAGAAATTCAGCTAGCCCTGAGTGGTTGTTGAAGGAGAGGAGGAGTTTGAGGTTCATCATTAATAGGGACCATTTTCCTTCCAGATCAGATTTGTTGTCAAATCTGCCTGAAGGTGACTGTAGATGAAATGACCATATGCTTGGTAGAAGGGTTGATCATAGAAGGAATGAGGGGAATCCCAAACCCACGTTCTGATGTTGCAGCATTTTGAAGATGTGTTAATATCTGTGGTTCTGCTGTGCTGTGGTGGTAAAGCAGCCAGAGTTGCACAGAATATTGGAACACACTCGTGGGGATTGCCTGTATCTGCAGATATGCAAGGGTTTATTTAGGGCTCTTACCAGACCAAGGAAGGTGGGGGAGAAGATACATTCTTCTGTTTGAGTCTTTTCTCTCAACACTACCTCCTTCCCATCTGTTCTCCACTCTCTTGATTGATAGTGGCTGTTATTATTTATTACAAAACGTTGACAGTGTCATATGTGAAAAGATAATCCACCTCTGTTTTCAATTTGTGTATGCATATGGCTATGGACTCATTGGACTAATAGCTGTACTCGCTTTGCCATGGACTTCATGTGGGCAGCTGGTTCAGTGAAGCAAATAGTCTGATCCATAGGAGAGGCTTACAGAGCTGACAGATCTGTAGGAGAGTCTGTGGTCATGGTTCTCCTGTGGTGATTCTTGTCCAAGTGAAGCAGGTTCTGAATTGTTTTCTGTTGTAAATGGTTTCGGCATAGCGTAGGGATTGGATTTAGGTACACTCATTTGAAAATCCTTGTCGGCCGGTTGTCTTGATCACCGTCTGAGGTGGGAGGAGAAAATAAGGTATTACAGATATTTGAGTTTTGAGATGGTGAGTAACCAAGCAGTGCAAAGACGTGAGATCATACACGTAACATTAATGAAGTGTCAGGAAGAGACAGGGAGTTTCTTTATAACAAAAGGTGGCCTATTATTGAGGGGAACTTTAGTGAGGTTTACTTAGTTTATTGAAGTTTAATTAAATTTGTCGTCTTCTGCATCACAGTAATCTTGAGGTTAATTTTGCCTTGGCCTCGTGTAACAGCATGAAGCTCATCCACTTGGCTACCCTTAAAGCAGGCAGCAGCAAGTGACTGTTTTCTTGGAAAAGTGCAGTACTTGGTACATGCGGCTGACTTGTTAACTCTGGGCCATCACACTTTGACTGAATTATTTTTCACTCGGTTTCTTCATGTGTCTCTTCCTTCTGCTTTTACTGCGGTGTTTGGTACTGGGCATGGAGAGTCAGGATGTGTTTGACAGTTATGCGTTGTGCTGCTCTTGCATGCATGTCAGTGGGATTTAGGAGGCGCTGGCTTGTTGTAGGGGAGAACCTCACCACAGGTAGCAACTCCTGCATAACATGCCGGTACAGTGCAGTCCTGTTGTGGAAGTAGACTCCAAAGAATTAAAGTGTACCTTTAACTCTTTATTTTCTTCTTGTCTTTGGAGACCTTGAGGGACAAGGTCTTGTGTTGAAAATCCTCCCCGTCAGGTCGCAGCTATGCATAAAGATACATATCTTAATTCTTATATGGGAGGCTGTCAGTGAAGAGAGGAAAGAGGAAGGGACATAGAAGGCTGTGCACACCAGATAATGTGCAAGAGTAATGCAAACGCTGCACAGAATTGCATGCATTGGATTGTGCCTTCCGATGGGATGCGGGAATACCTATTCCCTTGCCATCTCTTAGGCTGTAATGTTGATTGAGATTAGAGAACATACACAGGAAAATTTTTCAGGATGGGTAGGAAGAATCATCTTTGAGATCACCAGACAAGGAGTCTCCTTATCCCAAAAAGTGGAATAAACGCGCTAGTCCCCTGCTAGCAGCAGGGAAGTATAATACTTGTTTTCCACTCGTCTGTCACATTTAACAGTGACTAGGAATCAGTCTGCAGCCTGCAAATAGGAAAGATTCAATTTGCCTACAAATAGAATGGTCTCCAGAGGGATGAGTGCAGAAGGTGGCTTTTGCATCAAGTGCAAGTTTCCACACACTGCAGGAAAGCTCCGTGTATCCCACGTACCTGTATCTACTGTGCTCGCGTTTCAGGCTCTGCCATACGGCTTGAGAATGTCTGCCCACATCTTGCTTTTCTAGACTTTTGGGAATGATCGGTTGTGTCTTTCTGAAAGCTACTAAAAACGTGATTAGCAGTGTAGTAAGAGGCAAAGGTGATCAGTGACCTCCCAGTCTTGTTCTCTGCTCCCTGAAATGGCTTCTGGTATCTTTTGTAAGAGACATCTTTCTGCCCTCATCTTCCCTCTTTTTATGGTGAGAATTTTCCCCAACAAGAAGAGAACTGAAGGAATTGGAAATGCCTCGATTCCAAAGTTCAGGCTGATTTTTACGAAACGTTTAAAATCAAGTTGCTGCTGCAATACAGTTCCTCCCTACTGCGCTTTTCTCCATCTGCCAACGTGCAGGCATTTATTTATCGAAGTCATTGCTTCAGAGTTCACTTGTTCTGCCAGGCTGTTCATTTCCATATGTCTCTACTTCTGTACAACTAGATGCAGAAACTAGTTAGTGCTATGCCTGGTTGCCAACCTGCATATGGCTCTGGAGATCGTTTATGAAGGTTGACGATAGGGCAGTTATTAAGTGCTAGCTGCTGCCAATTGGAAAAAAGCTTGGATGCTTTTTCTTTTTGCTTACACAGATTGTGTTGAATTTATTCTGACTGTTATATCTTTCTAGAGTAATTGTGTTCTCTTTCCAGAAGCTTTAGCTTCTTATTTTATGGATGAAAGTTATAAAAATAGAGTAGCCCCCAAGCATTCTGCATAAAACACGGCTGTTAGACAGCAGCTGTGTTTAAGGGGCTTCTTCCTTTCTGCTCTGCAGATACACAGGGCGTCTCCTGGCGTCTTGCTTAGGGTCTGAATGTTTAACCTTTTAGCTTTTGAGTTGTGCTCAGCAATTTTATGCGGAGTTTGATGTCTAGCAAAGCAGTAAGCTGTGCTCATTTGTCTAGATACGTCCTAGAGTGGGAGCAAGGGTGACAACCTCGGTGGCCTTAGGTTATGGAAGGATGGAATAATGCTTCATGAATGTCCATGGTGTTGGCTACTTGAGAAATGGCTTGAGAATCAAATTTTGTAAGGTTAGCACGAGCCTTGAAGTGAATTCTCAGTAGGTGAATTACGTCCTTGTCAGCCAGTGTGTGACAGATACATGTAAATCAGGAAGATTTAGCCAAAAAAAAAGTACTGCATGCATTGATCTTTCAATGTGTTTGATGTAATTTCTCTCAGCATGGGCTGCCCAAACACACT